CAACTTTACAAAAAATTCCTAGGGGATCACTAAATCATTGATGTATGGGGGGTCACAATTTGCAAAGTTCGATGACCTCCTAGGAAGTTTTAGCAAAATTCGGTGACTATTTATGGTAGTTTTGAAGTTCAATGGCTTCCTAGGAACTTTTGCAAAGTTCAGTGACTAATTAGGAAAATTTTGAAGTTCGGTGACCTCCTGGGAACTTTTGGCAAAGTTCGGTGACTATTTAGGGTATTAACTCTACGAAAGTTGGTACTTACGGAGATGGTAAGCTGCCAGCAAAATCAGAAATCCTGTCACTTTCTCTACTTCTTGTTTAAAACGACAGCAAGATCTCGAAGCTCCTCGAATGCATGCATTGTTTCTGCATCAAATCCTCCAGCAAACTGTATCAATTGAGGCAGAAATTAGAACAATGAATTTTTACACAATCAGAAAACCATGTCCAAATTCTGTGTGTTAAAAACGAAAAGGAAACTATAATCTAGTTCATTATTCTGTCCAGCAGCGTCTAATATCCTATACCAAACAAGCACCTATAGTGATCAGCTATCAAATCTTTATTGGTTTTCCTAAATTATATTGGAGGAACCTACAACGAAAAAATTTAGTTCAAACGGAGAAGTGTTTTTCATCTTCATATATCTTAAATTACAAGAAGAGAATACATGTAACTCGACAAACCTGATGCATTCGGAAAGCAAATCTCACTCCTTGGAGTAGCATATAATCCATGGAAGAGTCTTTATCCAATGTGCTCTTAGATTGAAGTTCCATAGCCACTCTCTTCATGTATATCTTAGCCAGTTTCACAGAGCCTAGCTTTATCTGCAACGAGAGGATGAATTTAGATGGTGATTGCACATATGAGACGAAAGCAATATAGAATTGTTTCACGATCATACACTCAGAATTTACCAAACACAATTAAGAAGTAACCTGAAGTATAACTGCGTATTATAAATGAACGGAAAGAAGGATAAGTCCTGTGATAAAATTTATGTCACGAGAAAAGGAACATAAAGCACAACAGCCTTACCTTGCTTAATATTCCCATGTCAAGCATCCAGTCTGTGGGAATTTGGAACTCCTTGCAGTGTCTCATTAATGAATCTCTTGTCCGAAGAAGATTATAGGCGATTCGTTCCATTCTGATGGAGGAAACGACTTGGTTTTAACAATAAAAACAATTACATATCAAGGAATCTCAGAGAAGCATAGGACATTCTTACCTCTCTGACAAAGATACCATTTTCTTTAATGCCAGATCACATGGCATACGAGCGTCATCCTGAAAACTCAAGACTTCTTGCTCCAACTTTTTTAGATCTCTATATCCAAATGCAGCCTCTCTTAATGTGTCAGCTTTCTTCTCTGGCCAATTAAAGTGCTTCAAAACTGCTCTTTCATCCACCTTCAAGATAAGCCGAGCATGATGAGAGTAAATAGATGGACATAATCAATAAGTTCTAGCGTTAAATTGTCATGATTTTAGAAAAGTTCCAAGTTCTATAAGCATTTATGGGTTTTCCAGAGATGTTAATTGTCTAAAATTGAAATAAGAAACTCAGAAATCAAATCCGAGCGAAAATTAGTTAAAGATTACCTTAATAAAATATCGACACAGAGGTAAAATTCTTCAATAAGTACAGCATAGTAAACAACTTACAAGAAAGCAGAGTTCATCATCCAGCCACTTTACAAATGCAACTACATCTTCGATGTTAGGATAAACTGCATCATTGACCTCTCGTATCAGAAAGCTTACAAATTCTCCTTGAGTCTCAACATCTGCCTTAATCTACACATAGAACACAATATAGATTATAATTCGTTGACACTAAGAACCAGGGTCCATTGTGTTAGACAATATAGAGCCAATTTACAATTGCTATTTTGACATTTGTGCTACTTGTGATATAATTGCATTGTTAAAGGATAACGGCAATCAAGCACTTACAGCAATCAAATGCGATGATCGGTTCTCAATTTCACCTATCATGCTACTACGAACATTTGCAACGTCCGAGGATTCTGCTATCCCTGCATTCAATGAATCTTTCCTAGAATCCCTCTTCATGAGTGAATGATAAAACTCAACAACTTGTGGAGCTCGTTGCACCATTGCTGTCATTCTTCTATCCATTAACTTCGGAGGCGGTGGGGGTGGGGGAGGAGGTGGGAGAGGAACAGTATGAGTTGAACTTTCTTCCTTCCGTTCGCATAAACTCGTGCATGAAGGTCTTGGAGGAGGATTAGGGATTCTCAAGGCCCGTTTCTCAACCTCTAATGAAGCTGATACTTTACTGTTAATTATTCCCAGATCATACTTTTGGGAAGCTTCTAAATTTTCTGCTTCCTTAGAACATATAAAACCATCAGATTGCCTTCTTTTAGAAAGTATCATATCTTCAGTGCAGCATTTTGATCCACTTATAGAGTGCCGTCGTGCAGCACTCTGTGAATCATCCCAATTACAGTTCACAAAATTATCCGTGCATTCTAATTGATGTCTGTCTTCATCCGTAATAGGCCATTTCTTTAACTTTTTTATAAGATTTAACGTCTTTGTGGCACTATTGCTAGACTCTTCATCAGTCTGAAAAGATGAGAAGCAAACAGATTGCCTTCCTTTCTTAACAGAAACTGGGGTTGATACCTTGTTCGAATTCACTGTCAAGGAATTGTTCAACTCATTTCTTAAACGTGAATTAACCCACCTCAAGTAAACAAGCTCTTCAACCTCATTCAATCGGTTCATTTGAAGGCCCTCTACTTGTTTGCAGAGATCCTCATTTTTATGTCTTAACACAGACGCCTCTGCTTTAAATTTATCAACCGAGTCAGTCTGTCCATGATGAATTTAAAGTGAAATATTAATTACTGTAAAAACAACTAAAAGAATCAAAGCTAGAGTTTCCTGGCCATTGTAAACCATTAAATAACACACGTCTTGTGAATTGGAAAAATATTGGACAGAATAGGAATACGATAATATCAGTTGAGAAATATATTGAGCACATTTGAGGCCACTTAAAAGCACCTTTCTAGGTTTTTTTATTGGGCAGCACGTGGATATGTATGAACAGCTGAAAAAGGCATGCTTTTAAGTATAAGAAAACATGCTAGTAGTTGAATCCCTCGACTTCGATGATACATAAAGAGATTACAGTTTTTTAAGCTAGTTGGTTTATAGGACTGTCAACTTTGGCATTTCAATATTTATGGGAACCAAATTATGTAGAAAGAGGGGCTTGAAATGTGAAGATTATAAAAATTAAAGATATATATTGACGTTATTCATATCCTTAGCACGAAGGTTAAATATAAACTAGAGCACAGAAAAACAATAATCAACCTGCAGTCTGTAATAAAAGATGTATGACTATACCTCAGAGACTTTGGCAAGACTGGCCAATTGGGATTCCAAGGAAGAAATCCTGCAAGCCAGATTCCTCTTCTGAAGCTGCAGCTCCTTGTTCAAGCGCCTCAACTTGACAATCTCCATCTCTATACCATGTGAATTCTCGTGTTCTTCTCTTTCCGATAATTCATCCTGCTTCTCTGAAACAGAAGTTGAAATCATCAATTGTTCAGTTAGACTGTCCCTCTCACATTCAAGCAGTCCTACTTTCTGGACAAGGCCATCAATTTCACTCTTCTTCAGTTCAAGCTCTCTCTCAAGGTCCAAAACCTTGGAGTTTCTTATATACTCTGATAACTCATCTTGCAACTTGGACTCCCTATCCTTCGATTCTTGGAGTAGGTTCCTCAAATGATCAATCTCAAGAAACAAATCTTGAGAACCACCCAAAGACTTTGTCTTGGTGTTGCCATTCACTGTATGTGGATGAACTTGTGTGGCATAAATTGAACAAGATAGATCACCAATGAGGGACCTCTTGATTCTTGATTGTGAAACCGCAGACTGGTTCTTTTGGTTCCCAACGCTGGAGCCAGCTAGTGGCAATTTCTGACCTTGTGTTGTGGTTTGCACCTTGTTTTTCGTTTTTCTCTCCGCAGCCGTAAACCCCTTCACAATGTGAGACCCCCATGAGGATTTTGTCTTTGAGGAATTGTCGTTCCCCTTCACATTGCTGTCATTACCCTTTGGAACGCGGTTTTGATCAGCAAATTTTGATGGTTTCACTCTGTTATCAGATGGCTTTTCTTCTCTCATTTTCAAGAATACTAGTAAAAATTCAACCTTTTTTTTGTCAAAATCCCTCCTTTGGGCTTCAATACATCAATACTGAGAGTCTGAGATGTAAATTGATTTAAGGACAAAAAAAGTGAAGACTTTTTTCAAACTTTGTACTGTTTGTTGAAGCCCAAAAAAAACCCAGAAAATTCGAGTTGGTTTCAAGAATCTGATATAAATTATTTATAGGCTAAAAAGTGAAGACTTTCATTCAAACAAGCTGGGTACTGTTTCTTGAAACCAAAAAACCCCTAGAATATTTGAATGGGTTTCAAGAATCTGATATAAAATGATTTTTATAGGCTAAAAAGGTTGATACTTCTTTATTCAAACAAACTGTGCAGTGTTTCCCTTTAGTCTAAACTTTGTCTTAACTCGAGCTAAATTTATCGACAACTAGGCTCTCTCTTTCGTCATTTACTGCCAATTCTATATATTCATTCGAGTGGAAAGGTAATAAAATGAAGGCGCGGATTAAAGGGTATTGGGCAAAATGGCACTGGGGACTGGAGCTTGAAGGGTCCGAATCCAAAGATTCCACTTCTATGCTGTGATTTTCTTAAATGGTACTGTGTCGCTGCCGTTTTCTCTTAATTGGCATTTTGAAATTTGAATTTTTGAAATTTGAGCAGAACTTATGACTCAAGGAATGAGATTCTGTGGGGCTATTTTGGATTGACGGCTTCAAAATCAGTGGAAGAAAAGGGAAAGTGAGTGTGCATAAGCTGAATCTTTTAGTGTACGTGCAACGGTCATTTTTGGAGCCTCCGTTCAAATATTTTGAGGAGGATTCGATTTTCACCGTTGAATTCATATGTGTAACAGGGCAAAAAGAACGTTCGACTTAAATAGCTTGCACATACAAACATAGACGATGATTGTGGAATTTGCTTTAATTTTTGAAGGTTCAAGATTCATAACTAACAAACAAGTAAACACTAATTCACGATCACCAAAAGGTACTTTTGCAAACAATATTAAAAAATGCTGCACATAAGTGATGGTTCTTGATTTTTTCTTTTTAAATCATCCCTTATATTGTCTAATTCAACGTATCTTATAAATCGTAAACTTATTTCTGCCGGCCTCGTGCTTTCAACAGTTGTCTTCACGGATTTTCACAATCGAGCCTTCTGTTTTCGCCAATATAAAGAAGGGGATTGAGTCGATGGAATAGTTCATGGAGGCTTGTAAGAAAAGAGAAACCCAACACCACAATACTTTGTTCAAGGACACAGCATAACACAATACATACTATATTCAATGGAGTCAAAAACCGGAGCCCAGTGAATTGAATTTCAACAAAATCTAACATCAAAAGATCCAAGTAGTACAGGCAAAAGTGACAACTAAACAAATTGAACATTTGTAAAAACAGTTTCTCGGACAACTCCAAATGCGTTCAAAGGATGTAAAAGCAAAGTATACTCATTGTCTTGCGAAGATCCCATTCTTCAAGCATTCGTCTGTACTGCTCTGTCAAAACTCTCTTCTGCAGTTTTTGCACGTTTGACGAGTATGTGATCCGGGTGTGATAATGTCAATTGGCTGCAAAAAGTGGCATACGTGAACAGGTAAGGGCAACAAGAAATGCCTTCCAAGTCAGTCAAGGAAAATTTTCAATTGTGAGTGGACCTAGAAAATAAGTTGATGACAACCGACGAGTAAATAAACAAATTAAAATTCTACCTGAGGTAGCGTGAGGATGGCTTTCCCAGATGAAGACTGCACACAACCAAATTGGCAAGTGTTTCTGGATCCTTTGCGTCCTGTGCAAACCGTCAAAACTCACTCACAGAGAAAACCAACTTAAACTATCACTTCCAACATAATATGCACTGGCACACAGCAGTATAGACAAAGAACAGAACATATTATATATGAGATGATAAGAAATGCAAAGCATAATATAGAGCCCGCCTCCGACACTAAACTAAGCAGATGACATGCATCAACTCTAACTCTATAAATTAAAGAGGTAAGCCACAGTAGGTGGAGTTGCACATATGTGTATATTCTGCAATTAACAAGATAAGAAACTCTCCCAGAAAATTGAGACCCAAGAATAGTGTTAGGAGCTTCAAGAAAACCAACAGTCTAAGATATGCAAAACATGCCTTGTTTAGAGCTTCAAGCAATAGTGACTCTGCTTCGTCAAAAGTCCCCATGTGCATACAGCAAACAGCCTTCCCATTCAGGATCAAGCTAGTCATTTGATATTTCTCTGAGAAGTCCTGAAAAATAAGATATGCTTCCTGTATCTTCGAACCACCCTAATTCAAAAGAATGATTCTTAAGTTACAGGTCTAGAATTTCAAAATCGAGCACCGTAACATAGAATGAAATAAGACATACCACAGCCAAATTTAGCCACGCATTTGCAAGTTGAGTAAGTGTGTGATCTTCGTCTATCTGTTGCATGATTCTCAATTGTTTCTCTGCATAATCCGATCTGTGCATCTTCAGAAAAATTTGAACATTCAAAGCATGCCTGCAAGAGCATTAAAAAACAAAAAATTATAGCTAATTACGGGAAAAATATTGCATGAAATGCATTTGTAGATAAGGTGGAACTCACAATCCCCTTGTGCATTTCACACCTTATAATTATTATTATTTACGTTCTTTTGACAACTGAACATTTATTGATTTTAAAACAATGACAAGTCAGGAAGAAATATCCAAAGAGCTGGATATGAATTAAGTCTCATATCAAAACAGAAGCCATTGTCAAAAATTGCACTATGATTGGAAACAAAGAGAAATAGTCGAAAAAATGCAAGCAATCACATCCCAGCATGTGTACTGTTAGAAACTTCAGGCAACCATTGAAAAGCATCTCCAAATATTCAAGCATCATTATAACAAGAAATATTTGAACAGAAACATGCTAAGAGTTAAGACATACAAATCCTTACCCAAAGGTTGAATCTGATGGAGGAAAATCAGAGAAAAAAAATCGATCTATTAAAATTTTGTTAGCAACAAATGATCACTGGAGACAATTTAACTACATTGTATTTCTTAACTTTTTGGACTATTTTACTATAATGTAATTCTTAACATTTTAAAAAAACTAATTATTTCATATAAATTTTTGAGAGAAATGGACACGTCAATTAAAAGCAAATAAAGAATAATGGGGGCACAAGGAAAATCTCACTGGAATAGAACAAGTATCAATTTCGCATGATCAAATTATTAAAATAATAAAAGAAAACTTTATTGACCATTTGCTAACTCTAGAGGCAGTTCTAACTTCAAATTAAAAATAAAAAAATTGGAGGAAAGCCAGGTGTGGAGAAACTATGTAGTTAGAGGTTTCAGAACACGTTGATAATAAGCTCGAAATTTAGTTGAAACATATGGTGATACTACATAACTAACTCAGAGTTTAGACCCACAGTAGCCAAGAAACAATACATTATTAAGGAGCGATTATTAATGACTATTAAGGAAAATTAACACACATCCCCCCATTTCAATCAAGCAAACTTAACAAATTCCATGGGACAAAATAACATAGCAACACCAGTAGAAGTCTGTCACAATCTACATGTCCATCAAGCATCAAGCACCCCGAACTGAAATTGCAGGAATCAACCAGACATTAACAAGATTCACCATGCTTGTCTAGAATATAATGGAAACAACTAGAGATTCTCAGCATCAAATCTAGAAAAGACTCACAGATCCATGGTGCCCCCTGCATTTGTATGTTTCAAAGCTTCGTTATAATCCTGCTCATGCATGAATATAATCCCAGCAATAAGACGTAAGATAGGGTTATTTCCGATGGCTGGATCTCCTAACCACTCCTGGAGACTAGAGATTGTCATTTCCTACAAAACATAGAACCACCAATTGGAATAAAGCCTTATCTGGAAATAAAATTTCAAATACGAACTACAAAATGAGAGTTTTTATGTACCTATAGGACTTTTAATAATATAAAGAAGGCTGTGAAACTTAATTTGATTTAACTACGCCCTCCATCATAAATGAGCAAGTAGAAAAAGCATTATCAAATATCTGTCATGGCTTGAACAACAAAATTATATTCCCGGTCACCCTTTCACAGAAAATAGAGAGATTAATCTAATCCTCAAACTCATGCTGTACACGAACACTTTGGACCTAGGAGAATGTCTGCGCTTCGTCGAAAGTAAAAACTGTAATAATATTTTCCATAATAAGAGGACCAATGTGTAATCCCAACTTTATTCTTGCTCTCCCCCATTCTTTTTCTTTTTCTCACTGTATTTTAGGATCCGAATGGAGCATCAAGTTCTACTTCAAGGGACCCAATTCCCTATAATCATATCTAAGAGAAACTTGTTATGATTGCTTTATATACCTAACATTGTGATAGAATAACCTCTGCTACTATTACCTTATTCCTAATATACCTAAATCTGATGATAATCACAAACTCGCAACTTCCACAAAAGAAAGAATTAATCAAACACGTCACCCGGACAGGAATTGTAGTACTATCTGATTCTATTTGTAATGTTCCATTTTAATCATTTTGTCAAAACCAAATCGCTCATTTTAAATATCCTAATTGAACTGAGGAAAAATTCCTGGTTGAACCCTCATTAGAGTATTATTCTAGTCCAGATTCAAAAGCAGAAATTCAGATAACCGTAGAATATAGCAAGATCAGATGCACGATAAATGATTCAAAAACAAACAGCATTCACCTTGTTGGCGGGATTCGAGAGGTACAAAGCAAGCAATTTTACAGCTTGAAGTGGCGTTGCCGCGGACGAATCGATCTCATTTATCACAAGCTATACCCCAAAAAGATGTAAGAAATTCATGAGGTACAAAAACCTAAAAAAATCAAATTGAAAACAAAAAACGAGTTCTCAATTTACGGAATCTAAAAGGCCTACTATTTCACCTGATAACTGCCGAGGGCAATGTAAGATCTGTAAACAATTGAGTCCCTTTCAACGGCGTCGTCTGCGGAGAGATTCGGGATGTCGCTGTTATTGATGGCTGCCTGGTATGCACCCAAGTAGAAACTGTTCCTCAATCCAAACAACGGATCAGGTCCTCCTGCTGCCATTTTTGTTAAATTTCTTCAAATTTCAAGTAGATCAGATCTATCAAACAATTAGTTCCCGAGAGAAGGAAAGGGTGTTAAACAGCTACCAAAGCTTATTGTGGAAAAAGATACTTGTGGCCATGGCCAAGTAGCAGGCTTCATTGGTGTTCGTT